AAAATCCTTATTATTAATATTAATAGTAAAAACTATTGAGTTGGTCATTAGTTTAAAAGGGTACAGTAAAAGGTCAGGAACACTTAAGTAGAAACAGAAGAAACTAAGGGAAAAGGCATTTGAATTCACTTTGAGATGAGGAAAACAAAAATTACCTACCCACAAACAGGTTGCCCAGATTCCCTTTTTCCTTGGAAGTATCCACAAAGTAGAATCAATAAGATTAAGACTGTAAGAGTCAGTTCTCTTGCCTAAGCTATATGCTTACTAATATGTATGGTTTTTACTGTATAAAACATTTTTTGGCAGTCAGGAATATAAATAAAGGCTCCTAATTACCAAATTATAGGAATATTTATGAATGAACGAAAGTCTAGGCAAACTGTCATCAAAATCCACTACTTGTTACTTCTACTGAATTTCAGATTTGAGTCTCTTTAACTCCCAAAAGAATAAAGATTTTTCTTGTGAAATTTAAATTTGATAAACATTTTCTGCTACTAATTTCCAATGGAAAACTCCATACAACCATGGGAAAAGAAACCTGTGGTGGCTAGAAAGAGACACACTCAGGAGTTACCTGGAGAAGGCTAAAGAGGCCATCCAAAGGACTTGAGATGAACTTATTTTAGTGTATAAGGTCTATTTGGTGTTCAAAGTCTATTTCTTGGATGACATGTGTCATATGACCTATGCTATATGCAAGTTAAGGGTTCTGTGGACAAATATCTTTGAAAAATGCTTTACAGTACATACTATTCTTGAGTTTATTACATACTAGCATGTTAAGAGCTCTGAGCAGTCAAGAAGAAAGAAAACAATTTACCTTTGCTTCAAACAATGTTTCCCAAACTTCTTTGACTATGAAAACTTTGGTGGTATAATACCTGTTAATAACTTGAAAAATTCAGGATTTGAGGAACACATTTTATGAATGCTACCTTAACGTATGTATCATTGTCCATGATCTTCAGCCATATGAGTAATCCAGAGTTAACCAAGCTCAACAATGTTCACTTCTCTACCTAAACTTCCATAGACTAAAGTTGATAAATATACAGTGATAAATATTTACTTTAAAAAAACATGCATGAGTAAATTTTAAGGTATGTAAATGACATCTCAATAAAGCAGTTTTTGTGTGTTTTTTTTTTAAATAAACCAATATGCTTATGTTTCAGGAATACTGAAAAGTAGAGTTACCTGGTGAGCATGGTATCAGAGCAAAAGGAGGACAGTTTTAAAGAATATTTTATGCTCACCAAGGTGACTCATTCCTGTGCCACAAGAGAGGATATATCTATAGTTACTATAATGTTTCCCAGACTCTATGGTTCTCTCCCCAATTCTACCTCTTCTACCTTTTCTTTCAAAATGTTCTGGCTAGTACTTACAAATTAATCTACTTAAGTCCTCCTAATAGTACAAAAGAGTGAATGCATATTCCCGGGTGGGAATGAACAGCAGTAGCCATAGTCCAAAACAGCCCACCATAAGCACGGTATTTTTTTTAAACCTCATGTTCTTCTGGGCATATATATGTGAAAGAGTAAAAGTTTTTAATTTCAAATCTTTAGGGATAACTGATATATAAAGAATATGTGTTATATATTTACTTGTTACTTTATGTACCCTAATATATATTAACTATATCCTATTTCAGAAATAAGGCTCAAAGCTAAAAATCTCCCTTCTATCTTTACTATCTTTTTCTAAAAGCAAAAGTTGACGAGGTTTATGTAAGTGCTAAATCAGAATCATACTTCATGCATCCCTCCTAGAGTTAACACATGAAAAGATGATTTCATTTGTAGCCATAGGCGGATTACGTCAGCTAAATAAATGTCAATGGTCACTTTTAGTTTATCTCTTGATTCTCTGAGACACTTTTATCATTGCCACAAAACAAATACAAATATCATAAAAAGAAAAGGAAATGACACTTTTAATATGTAAACTATTTATTGAACTATTACATTTAAAACATTACTCTTCAAAGAGGCCACAAAAATTACAGCACTCAGAAATTTCAGGTAAAACTCTGCCAGGGTAAGTTGTTCTTCTATTGTTTTTTTTTTAGTCAGCTTGTACCAAGTTTAGCAGCAAGAGGATACTTCTTTAGAGACTTTTAGTTAACTCAGACTCAGTTTCTGTTAGTACTACGTAGAGCATCCACAATGGTTTTATTGTATTCTGCAATCTTTTTGGTCACATTTTTCATAATTGGTTGGTAATCACTCTCTTGACTCTTGGTAGCTATGACTAATTATATGAGTTAAGGGGAACAATGTCAATAAAAATATTAATCTAAGTGTGGCTCAGAAAGGAACTAAATCATACTGGTAATTTTTCTTATTGAAAATACGATGGCATAGAAAAAACACAACTGGAATACTTTAAAATACCATATGTTATTTTAACAGACCAAACATCAATTGAAAACTAAAGGCCAAGCAAAACTTATTTCAAAAAATTCACCTATAGTATAAACACTTTTTTATACTTAACATATTATGTATCTCAATTTAATTCTGGTCTCAGAACAACTAATGTTCAGAAGAACCATGTTTTGTAGAGTACCACATTGAATTTTAGGTAAGTTTCTAGATTTAATTCTGTTTCAAAATCACCTATTTTATATTGTATGAAGAATGCTGGACTTTAAGCATACTGTGAATGTGAGTCTTTTACTTTTAAACTAAGTTGCACTACCATTGAGAACACACCCCCTAAAACATCTTTTTTTTTTTTTTTGAGATAGTCTCACTCCATAGCCCCAGGTACAGTGTAGTGGCATCATCATAGCTCACTGCAACCTCAAACCCCTTGGCTCAAGCAATCCTCCTGCCTCAGCCTCCTGAGTAGTTGGGACTACAGGTGCCCACCACTACGTATGGCTAATTTTTCTATTTTTCGTAGAGATAGGATCTCACTCTCATTCAGGCTGGTCTCAAACTCCTGACCTTAAGCGATCCTCCCATCTTGGCCTCAAAACATCTTATTTGGAGGTAAGCTGGGGTCCATGTTGCCCCTGAGCAGAAGTTCAGCAGCACTCTAGAGGAGAACCTATGGTACCAGAGAGCCAGGATCTAGTTCTCCAAGCAGAGATAGCCTTGAATGGGTCAAAGAAGGAAATAGAAAATGACATTTAGGGAAATGTTTGTTACACCTCCACAATATATATCCTGAGCAGCTACCTGCTGCTTCCTATGATCACGCAAAAAGATAAGCAGTAATATGGGACATAACTATCCTCTTGATAGAAAAAGGTGAAGTTGAATTGGTTGAAACATGGATGAGCTTGAAGGTTAAACTTCTCATAATTACTTAGTTTACCTCCCCCTTTGCTGCCTAGACATGCAAGGTATAGCATTATAAACAACAACAAACAACTATATAGCATATATTATATAAATATATATACTTAAATATATATTTAGTTCTATATATATGGTTATATATAATTCTTCCAACAACTCTGTGAGAAGGAAATATTAACTGTATTTTAGAGATGATAAAATTCTGGCTTAAACAGATTAAATAAATTGTCCAAAGTCTATAACTTGTAAGTGGTAGAGTTACCATTACCTGACTCCAAAACCTGTACACTTAATTACTGATACTATGTCAATTACAAAACCTGTGCACTTAATTACTATGCCACATTATGATGGCTTGGTACTCCTTTGGCAATTCCCAAAGTCTGCCTTCTGTTAGTTACTTTGTGGTACACACACACACACACAAACATCTCCTAACTATTGTACAGAGGAAACTATGTCTTATTCATTTATGCCCCACATAGTTTACCTCAGTGTTTTATACATATTTGATAAGTGTATGTTGAACTAAATTTCATTTGAGTCTTTAAAGAAATTTCTAGAAATAACTTAGTTAAATTCATTTGCAGCTTTTTAAAGGATACATTCTTTCATCACAAAATTATTTTGCTCATGGTGTTGCCACTTTCTCTCCAAATTTGTAAGCTAAAAACATAAAAGAAAAATGTTAACTAGTACCCATATTCAAAACAATTATGTACCCTTCTCTAAGAGGATTAAAAAAACTGCTCAATTTAAATGTTATCAATTCCTCATATTTTATTGAGATAAAGCCATGGTAGAACAAAAAGAAATTTAGGAAAGATTAAACAATAGTAAATACATTAATACAATGTTGACTTCTACAATAGCTTTTACTCTATATGTTTATTTTAATTAGAAAATATTTAAAATGTTTATTATACCAATGATCATGCCAACTGAAAGACAATTTATGATTTTCCTTTTCCTAAAAGAACTTAAAAAAGAATGGGACATGATGGTAATCTCTCCTTGAAATCTGGAAGTCTAATGCCACCAATGTAATATATATTCAAACACTGTCAAAGGTTTAGCTATATAGGAGAAACTTCCTTATTTCCAGGGTAAATTTCCTGTCTAATTCCACGAGCTGTGATAAGAGCAGAGCTGCAGTGTGAAGATTACAAGAGCGCTGGTAGAAAGCTGGCCCTGTTACAATAATTTCTGCATCAACAGGAAGCTAATGTGGATATTATATTGATGGTTGCTTCCTCAGAAGACAATTTTACTGTTATAGAATTAAATTGTTTTTCTGATTTAATTAACCTTGTAACTCTGGGTTATGGTCTTTCTTTTTTAAGATGCACACAGTTTTTTTCCTAAGCAAAGGACCATCTGAAAAATGAAATACTAAAATAATGTTTTGCCTGGTCATTTCAAAGAAGTAGTGATCACATTTTAAAACATGACAATTAAAACAGCATTAATAATATTTCTTTCTACTCCAATGTTAAAATTATTTTCAGGGCATAAGTTCAGTCTCGATGTAGCATCTATCCCATTGTTTCCTCCAAAGAGATAAATCTAGATACTAGAATGACTCATAACTAATTAATTATATACACTGTTATGTCCTGTGAGCTAATGCTACTAAATCAGATCAATCTCCTCCAGATAGGACCTTGAAGTTAAGATGGACTTAAGGAAGCAGTCAGCACTTTTTGGCAGCAAATATCTAATAACCTTTTGCAAAGTCAAGTACCAGACTTTTTTCTCTTTGTTTCATACAAAGAGGTGACCTCCTTACAATGCAGTAGATCTCTTAAGTGCTACACGAAGAATGATATAAAAAGCAACACTATGTCAGATGGTCAAATTCCTATTGTATCGTATGTCTCTATTATTGATTTGCCTTTAAACCCCCAAGAACTCAAAAAACAAACTCATTTTTGAAAATCTGTTTTTCCCTATAACGTATTATTATTAGTAGAGCTAGGATCTCACTCTGTCATCTAGGCTGGAGCGGTGGCACGATCATAGCTTACTACGGCCTTGAACTCCCACCTCAACCTTCTGAGTAGCTAGGACTACAGGCATGCACTGCCACACATGGCTAATTTTTTAATTTTCTGTAGAGATGGGGTTTTGCTATGTTGCCTAGTCTGGTCTCAAACTCCTGGCCTCAAGTGATCCTCCCATCTCCCAAAGTGCTGGGATTATAGGCATGAGCCACAACTCCTGGCCTTTATCACTTATTTAAATAATCTATTAAGTAAAATTATTTATAGATACCAAAAGCCAGTTTTCAAGAAAATAGTTGCGGCCGGGTGCGGTGGCTCACGCCTATAATCCTAGCACTCTGGGAGGCCGAGGCGGGTGGATTGTTTGAGCTCAGGAGTTCGAGACCAGCCTGAGCAAGAGCGAGACCCCGTCTCTACTAAAAATGAAAGAAATTAATTGGACAGCTAAAAATATATAGAAAAAATTAGCCGAGCATGGTGGCGCATGCCTGTAGTCCCAGCTACTCGGGAGGCTGAGGCAGTAGGATCACTTGAGCCCAGGAGTTTGAGGTTGCTGTGAGCTAGGCTAATGCCACGGCACTCACTCTAGCCAGGGCAACAGAGTGAAACTCTGTCTCAAAAAAAGAAAAAAAAAAAAAAAAGAAAATAGTTGCAAAAGATAGAAAGACCAGGATTTAATTTGATCAGTTGAGATTCACAAAAAACAACAAATAATACAGACGAGGCTTTAAAATTATGGCTTATGTTATGATTTCAGTTACCAATATATGCAATTAAGAATATGTTTAGAACTTAATGTGGGAATAAACAAGGTAGCCACTGACTGACTCTAAGAAATGGTGTTTGTCAAGTGTTTTCCTCCTTAAATCATCTATTCAGTGGAAGAGGAGGGCCAAAATTCCATAAGAAATATCAATATTTTTTTCTAAGAACCATTTAAGACAATGACCTCACAAACTTTTTCTTGTTTCTTCTCCAGCACTCATCCCATTCTAAACAATCTTAGATAATTTTACTACTTAAAAGACTATATCTAAGTTTGTATATTAAGAAGTAGAGACAGAATAAATGACTAGTAAATTTAAATTATGTAAATTAGTGATTTCCAAGCTTTTAGTAGAGTGGCAAGCTCTCATGAGATTTCACCCTTTACAAGAAGAATATAAAGGGGATGGAGATATATATATGTATATATATATATATATTTTTTTAAATGGTACATCCATATAATGAAAGAGCTGATGTCACAGAAATGTCATCAAAAAAGAAAAAGCCTGAAAAAATTTAAGAAAAATTTTTAAAGGCTGAATAGAATGATTTCATTTTTTATAAAAACTATAATTAATATGAATGTATGACTGCAAAGGAAAAAAAGACTCTAAGGATATTATACCAAAATCTTAACAATGGTTGTCACTGGTTAGTGGGAAATCAAGTGAAATTATTTTTTCTATCATGATCATATTACCATATAAAGAAAAGGAGGAAAATTTTAATGCATTTACCATGATAAATCTTATGTAAAAATTGCTAATATAGAGTAATTAGATATAAGAATGAACAATCTTTTTCAGAACATAATTACTGATTTTGTGTATGACACGATGCTTCATTCAATCATTTGACAAACACTTACTGAACATCTATTATGTGCCAACCAATAGGACAGTAAAGTGAATGAAACAGACAGTGTCTCTGCCCTCTCAGAGCTCACAGCCTAGAAGACCTCAAACAGTGTTCAGGTAATTATCAGCAGGATGAGTGACATGAAAAGGGAGTTGCAGGTATATGTTTGTGCATCATATGTAAATAATCACTGCTCTTATAGCATTATTTGAAGTTTTAAAACTAGAAATTATCTAAATGTGTAATGAAAGGTAATTGGTTCAGTAAATTATGCTATATCCATGTAGCAGAATATTATTAAGCTGTTAAGAATCATATTTTAAAAAAAATATATACTGACAAGGGAAAGTACTTATGATGTATCATTAATAATGAAAAATAAGCCCCCAAATAATATGTACATTATACCATTTATATAAATATAGAGATATAAATGTGTACTTGTGTATATGCATAAGTGTGTATATACCTATATATATAAAGAGAGAGAGAAAGAGAGAGACTAATAGGACTCACACCAAAATGCCAACAAGAATCTCTCTTCTGGGTGGTGGGATATTGGTCATTAGGGTTTATTTTATTTGTGGTTTTTATGGGTTTTCAAAGTTTCTGCATTATAAATGTTTTACTTTTGAATTTTTTTAAAGTTATTACCTAGTATATCATAATGGTTGTGTCCAAAACAGTGCCTAACATAGATGTGGACTTCTATATACGTTTATAGAAGGTAAAGAAGCAGAAGTTAATTTATTCTAAGTGGATGTTGTACATAATCTGGCTATCTTTAAAGCCAGAAAATCTTGAAGGTATATAAAGCAGTTTTTAAAATAAAAAAGGATTGTTCTGGATGAAAATATAGATTAAGGGAATAGGATAGATAACCTAAAAGGATAAATGAATTCCAAAGTCATTTTTAAAAATTTTTACCTGAGAGTGTGTCTCATTTTCTTGCAGTTGTGTTTTTAGTGTCTCATATTGTATGTTTAGCGTCTCCATTATTTTCTTAAAGGCATTTCTGCGGATTGATAATACCATTCTCTCCTGATGTAATTTCTAGATAGATCCAAATAAATGCAAATAAGAGGCTGTAGTAAATATCTAATAAGCCAGTATAAATCATATTTGACTTAAATAATTTCAATGACTATATTCTGATAAATTTCTAACAAGGCTATAACTACTCTAAAATCTTTGTAAAAATATCCTTTGAACTATAAGCTATATTAACAGTATTTATAATTCTATTAATGTTGCCATATTTGTCCCTACCCCACCAAATTGACTTTTAAATTAATGTAAATGGCAATGGAAAGCCTCTGACAATTTTTAAGTAGGGAATAGTCATAATAAAATCTGCATTTAACAAAGTTCACATTTGTTGAAATGCTGTTTATCAAGTAGTAGCTTATACCTTGCTTTTTAATTTAGCCTTTTATTTAAAACTTTAAATCACTCTAAATTCCAACTACATATGTAAACATTTTTATTATTTTTTCTCAGCTTATATATCAAATAATCAACTGAAAATAAAAAATCCCATGAAGTACATATATATTAAATTTGATCAAGAAAAAAATCTGAATTGTAATTTTGTAAGACTTTGTTAGCATTTACCTTTTTCTTTTCTTCACCTGATGATTTTAAAGCTGGCAAATCATTATATGTCTCCAGATCAGCTGTCATTTGCTTAATTTTGCTTTTTAGAGAATGCTGTTCCTCAGTCATCTTACTTTCCAGAAGCTCCATTTTCTGAAGATCCAACTGCAGACGCTGACTTTCTGAAGGATAAGAATGTAAAGCCATAGTTTTTTTTTGTTGTTTTGAGAAAGGTTCACACTCTGTTGCTCAGGCTAGAGTGCATTGGCATCATCATAGGTCACTGCAACCTCAAACTCCTGGGCTCAAGGGATCCTCCTGCCTCAGTCTCCTGAGTAGCTGGGACTACAGGCATGTGCCACCACACCTGGCTCATTTTTTTTTCCCTAGAGACTGAGGTCTCACTAATTTGCCCGGGCTGGTCTTGAACTCTTGACCTCAAGTGATTCTCCACCTCAGCTCCCAAAGCACTGGGATGACAGGAAAGTCATAATTAATCAAAATTTTATTCCTTTCGCACAAGGACATGCAATGCAACAATTAAAAATCATATTTTATAAGAGTAACTGTAAAAGAAATATATGTTCACTGTAACCAGTGAGATAATATAAAGAAAAATTAAGAAAAAAAAATACTCATCCCCTCAGTAATCAATTTCAGATAAAGCTGTCTCTATGCTAATACAAGCATATAAGAACATACATAGGTTTTAAAAAATAATATAACATATTATAATACTCATTTTTAATAGGGACATGACACACAGTTACGTAGGAAAAAATAAGCAAGCTATAAAACATTATATATTTGAACACAATTTTGTAATTGCACATATAATCAATTCTCATTATTTGCGGTAGCTATGTTCTATAAAGTCACCATAAACAATGATTTTTGTTTAATCAAATACTGAACTACTGGGTTTGGTTCCTGTGAATCTCTGGTCACATTTTTGTCAATTGATTAATACATAACCTTGTTTTATATGTGCTTCTGTTAAAGACTTTTTATTTAATATACGTGGTAGATTTGTTAACATTGAATTCACATTGAACAGCACTGTAATTCATGCCCAAATGACGCTTATCTAACACACGTTTTCTCCGTAAGGCACATCACAGCCTTCTTACTCTTAGGAACACTAGATAGCATGTTAGCACTTTGTTTAGGGCTATTTTAAAATAGCATGATCACCAATGAAAAACAAAAAATGCTAAAAATGTGGCACTAAATATGCCACAAAAAGGAAACCTGTTTATAGTATGAGAACTGGGAACCTGCATGTCAGGCTATTCAGATTTTTCACCACTCTGCACATGTCCACGAATGAAGATGAAAGTGCTGCAACTACTGACTTGGGTGGGGGTTACAATGTAACTTCAGTGAGAAGGCAAATTCAAAATATGGAATCCGTGAATAATGCGTATTGACTATATGTATGTGTCTCATTCTTTCATTCAAAAGTACCCAGCATCTACTATGTACCAGGTGCTGAGGATATAATAGAAATCAACAGAGACATTGTTTTCATTCAAGGAGCTATATTTTAGAGCTAGAACCAGGCAATTGAACAATGCTTCAAAAGTCATTAAGAAAAGAGGTTTGTTATTCAACCAAAATATAAGTTGGTATAATTAAACCAGCATTCCTTGAATGTTTCTTTTTATCCCTTTAAGGGTTTTAAAACTCAACTATATTGACATACATTATTAAAAAATGTATATGTATATATACACATAAATATAAACACATAAATATATATCTATAACACAAGTCTTAAACATTGTTGCAAAGGGTTTTGTTTTGTTGGATTCTTATCTCTACTAGGTTTAGAAATATTAACAGTTATGAGAACCAAAGTGCTGAATAAGTCACTAAGGCTTACAGTGTTTTAATGCTCTAAATAGGAAATGTTCTTAGCTTGTAGATATTTTGACTATTTGGAGTAAACAGTTATATAAATCTAACTTCAAGTTTACTTTGAGTATATACTGGGGAAATACATTCAAGAAATATACAAATTGATTTTTCTACAGAAAAAAAAGAAAATGGTTGGTAGGTATAGGGTAAAGTTTATCTTCCTTTAACAACAGGTCCCCAGTGAAAAGCTAAAAGCTACTCCAAGGGAAGAGACAGGAAGAGGATGCAGTCTAGTTCCTTCTGATATGCTATGAAGTTGCAAAGTTTACCAAGCAGTGTGTACATAGTAGCAAAATCTTAGAAGGAACCACTTTGACCTGGGGAAATGTTTCTGAAATATACTGTCATCAGCACATTTGTTTACTCCCTGGAGTTTCCTTTCCAAAAATATAAATAAAAACTATTGCTGACAAATTCCTTGCCTCTTTACCCATGCAGTGGTACATCAGTGTTTCTCAACTTTTCTCTTCCATTATCAGTGCCCTAAGAAGCTTTTTGTAGATTTTTCCTTCCAATCGCCTCCCTCCCCTGAAATTTTTGTATCACAGATGTAGTGTGTATCTGTTTATGTACAGTGACCCTTTGGAGGATGGCAAATCATTATAATATCTAAGATTTTTTTCACCCTCCTCCCAAGAAGCAATTTTGGCCCCTTGAGGACAATACTGCCCCATTAAAAAAACATGGAGGACAGTAAGAAAACCAGATGAGTCTCAGTTATAACCTCAAGGGTAGAAAGGAAGGCAACTCACAAAGGGGAATACAAAATTCATTATCTCAGAAAGATGAATAAGAATATTATAAACCTCTTATGGTGATTTCCATATACAAAAAATTGCTCAAGATGGGGGATGGTATTAGAGAAAGAAACAATAAGTTATTATATATGCTTGGTTCAAATTAATACAAAAATAACTCAGTAAATGAAATTAATGGTAGGGGTCAGACAATTCAACCCTTAATAAGAAAATTTTCCAACAAAATCCTCATCACAATAATAAACTAGATTTTTATCTCCATTGAAGCCAGTTCTTATTTTTTTTCAAACTGTACATCTCTGGAGAAAACATATGACTAGTTTTTTAAATATATATGAACACAAAGTATAAAAGTATAGAAGGAATATGGAGTCTTGATTATCGAATTTCTTTCCTGGTATTGATATTTGCCTTTTAAAAAATATATTTCTAGGCCGGGCGCGGTGACTCACGCCTGTAATCCTAGCTCTCTGGGAGGCCGAGGCGGGCAGATTGTTTGAGCTCAGGAGTTCGAAACCAGCCTCAGCAAGAGCAAGACCCCGTCTCTACTAAAATTAGAAAGAAATTAATTGGACAACTAAAAATACATAGAAAAAATCAGCCGGGCATGGTGGTGCATGCCTGTAGTCCCAGCTACTTGGGAGGCTGAGGCAGGAGGATCGCTTGAGCCCAGGAGTTTGAGGTTGCTGTGAGCTAGGATGACGCCACGGCACTCTAGCCCGGGCAACACAGTGAAAAAAAAAAAAAATACATTTCTTGGCGGCTGTTATACAAAGGAGGAAAAAACTTGTTGAATTAATATTTACCTTAGATAAATGAAAAACTTAAGCACTATGGTCTAAAATACAAAACAGAGGTTTTCTAGATAGAATAACAGAACAGTCTTTATAGAAAAAAGAAAATAGATATTTAAAAATACGAGTTATACATATCCAAAAGAATTGAAAACAGGATCTTGAAGAAATATTTGCACACCCATGCTCACTGCAGCATTATTCACAATAGCTAAGAGGTAGAAACAACCTAAATGTTTGTCTATGAATGGTTAAAGAATTATGGTATATGCATGCAATAGAATGTTATTCAGCCTAACAAGGAAATCCTTCTTTGCTACAACATGGATGAACCTTGAGGACGTTATTCTAAATGAAAAAAGCCAGTCACAAAAAAGACAGATACTGAGTACCTCCACTTATATGAGGTTATCTAAAGCAGTCAAACCCACAGAAACAGAAGTAGAACTAATGGTTGCCAGAGGTCAGGGGAAAGGAATGTGGAGAGTTGTTCAATGGGTACAGAGTTTCAGTTGTGCAAGATAAAGAAGTCCTAGAGATCTGTTGTACAACAAGGTGCATGTAGTTAACACTACTGTACACTTAAAAATAGTTAAGATGGTAAATTTTATTTGTTTTTTACCACAATAAAAGATATAAACAAACCAACAGTAGGTACAAAAATTAAGGTTAGAATGTACCTCCTCTAGATGCTTGGCATATAATTCAGACATACAAATAAAACCATGGCAAACAAAGTCTAAACAAATGTGGGCATAAAATATGCTTGAATGTATAGAGTAACAACAATTGAACAACTATATCATCACGCTTAATTCAATGATATATTAAAGGCATTCAGTATGCATTTAGAGGTCCATAATCCCTTATCTAAAACTCTTGGGCAGAACACAGAATTCTTTGGATTTTAGAAAAGTAATAAAACATACATATTAATTATTACATTACTCCCATGGCAGGGTCTGAGGGAGTACCCTGTCATTAAATACATGACTATTTCTGCAGCAAAAAGTATAAATAGTTATACTAGGTGGGATAATTAAAGAGCATAAATAGCCTCATGTCAATTCAGGTCAGGTTATGTTTTCCTGCCAAGATGGTTTTAGATTTTGGGAATCCAGATAAAGTATTATAGATCCTTTATTCCATTTCAAGGATCTTTCAATATTTTTAACTTAGCAAATATTGTCTTCATTTCTCATGATCTCACTAACTGCTAGATATATCCAAGTAGACAAAAGCATAGTTAATTCAAAGTCATCACACCACAGCAAAAAGAACACCCATAGTTAGAAGCCATCAGTTTATAAACCAAGAATCCACATTTTTACATAACTTTATCAGTTTATAAACCAAGAATCCAAATTTTTACATAACTTAATCCTAGACTCTTTAAATGTAACTTTGCACATCTGTTTCCAAACTCTACCTGTAACATCCCAATGGCAGCCAATAGCCACATATGGCTTTCGAGCACTTGAAATCTATCTAGTCCAAATTGAAATGCTGTTAAGTATAAACTATTTCTTTGATCGCTTTTATATAGGTTACATGTTAAAATAATAGTATTTTGGATACACTGGTTTAAATAAAATATATTATTAAAATTGACTTGTCTCTTTTTACTTTTTTACATGGCTACCAGAAAGTTTTAATTATATATGTGGTTGGCCTTGTATTTCTGTTGGACAGTGCTGCTCTAGCTGCATG